GGTGAAATCTTTGGGGAATTCACAACCAGAGTCTCCGGCTAACCAAGGCTTGACCCGCAAGGCAGCGAGGGGTGTGTAAAAACCGCAATCCTTTGGGAACCAGTGTCCAGTTCATCGGATCATACGACCATTGGACGGGGTAAAACGTCCAAGGTGCCTAATACACCTCGATGCCCAATCGAGCCGGTGACCACGGCCACAAGCAGGAAGTTGTGTGTGTGGTTCGTACGCCTCCTCTTGATTGGTTTGGGATCAGGTGAACTATCAATGGTCCACCAACCCGGTTATAGCCCCGGATAATGGATTTTTGTCCTCTCACTTTGGGGGGAAAACATCTCGGCCACGAGAAGAGAGTGAGTAGGGCTTCCTCAGCAGAGGCTATTTGAGACGCTTGGTCATATGAGAACATTTCGTGAGGTGCAAGGGAAGGGTGATTTGGATGTTTTCGGCCATACCGCAAATTTGTATTTATGTGTTTTGACTTACCGTGGAATAACAATGTGCCTGTAACAGCTTGTCTCCAGTATTGTAACACAAAGGTTTCCTATTTGTTTACTTTACCTGATCAGTATTGTTGTAATATTGGCTCACATTCTAGGAGCGGAAACGCCATTTTAGGTTTCTTTTCTGCAGACGGAATAGGCTCAGTTAGTTCTTTTATGGTGCTCCATGAACCAGTTAAGTTTCCTTGAGGAATTTCTCTTCATTATGCAGTTTATTTGGTCTGAAAATCATTCGTGCTCAGAGAGTCTGAACGACTCCTCGTTTGTAGGATATTTCAGTAAAACTGGAGTACTGAGGGTGCAAATCACTTCATGTTGATTTTCNTTGATTTTCGCGGTGGTTGTTATTATTTAACGTACCGTCCGCTAACCTAATTCTTAGTTTGTCTACAACCATGAGCTTGTGGTCGTGCTGTTTTTCCAGGGTTCAAGAATGTTTAGGTTGAATAAAACTGGGTAAGTTGAGAAAGAAAATCAAATATCATCGACAAAAAGTCTATACAAGTAAAATTAAGATCTATTGTCTTTTTATTTGGGTTAAGTCAATCCAAAAGGATAATGGAGTGTAGCCCTCGAGGATACCCATCAACTGGCTTGTCCTTTGATATCGCATGGGATAGAATCTCTGCAACAAATAAGATCCCAGAAATATTCAACGGAAATGGGCAGATGAAAATTGTTTGAACATTTTGTATCACACAAGGAATCGACGAAGTGGTACGTTCGGGGAAGAACACAAGTGCTTGGCGATCTCCATACCGTAGCATAACGACACGATGCAGGCAAATCAATAAATTTGGATTCATTGAGTGAGCAAAAATCTATGATAGACCACTAAGTTGATGTTACCCGATCGTTCAAAGTAATGCTCCATCATTGCAACCTGATGTGTCGATATTTCATTAAGCGATTTTAATTGCAACAGAAAGGTCACCGCTATAGGCACAAAACATCAACTTTCACTGTCATCCAGACTTAGCATGATTCAATAACTAACCCCTTCCAAATCTTTAATAGTCGAATGACACAAGTATTACAATTCTTGCTATCTTCATTCTTTACCCTTAAGTTTGGTATACAAAAATATGAGCAGTTTTGCGTATGTAACCGAGGGGTGTCTATAACCTGCTCGCAGCCCGCAGCGTCAGTCTTCTTTCTGTGATCGTGAAGTGGTCGAAGATGACACAGTATTTTCACTTTCTCAGTCAGTTGAGTTCACACTACTACAAACTTTCCGACAAAGGTTTGCACAATCCATTAAATAGTTAATCAGGAGGATAACAAATAACATGTTTCGAGGCATCGGCGTTTCACCTCATCTACTCGCTGTTTGCCGTGAAAAAACTACTACCGGAATAGTTCTATGAGTTGGTAAATCTGAAAAAATGGGTGTGCATAGGTGATTAAGGACCAACCACCGCCTGACTTTACCCATTTTGTGTGTTGTATGATAACCTTTTGATTAGCCGCTTCCCCCTTCCTGAAAGTTGTATCATTGTGTATTCAACAAAATGAAGTAAAACAAAAAAGAAAGAAAACGGAAGTAAAAGGTTGCCTACATCAGTCACGCGTTGTTGCACGGAATTCGTCGATACAAGTATGTCAGTTATGTTCCGCTAACCGCCACGAGTTTCAAATTGTGGTGACTTGACAGAGATTTGAATTAGGAAAACGAACTAAACCGTCTCGTTGCCATAAGGTGTTTTGCATAAAACGTTCTGGGTATCCTGTGACCATTTAACTATCGAGTGTGAGTCGCGTCAAAAACCTCACCAATTACTTGAAAATATACTGTATCATTTTTTGCCTTTAGCTTCTATTTTGGGTGGTTCTTATTTATCAGCGTAACTGCATTCACTGGGATTTACCAACACATTTTGTTTCGTCTATTTCAACTTATTTCACTTTGGCAACAGAAGAGATTAGCCTAAAAGTTACTATCTTGTGGTATTGGCGTTTTTTATTCTGCATCAACGTTAGGGATAATGGGAACTCGGTGTTTTAAATGATAACGCTCATTTTGGACTTAGTTATTAGAACCGTATTGGTTGAACAGGGTTTTATCTCACTTATTTTTGAAATAGAAGGATTTTTCTAACAAAACAACAGAGTGGCGAACAAGCTCATTTTCAGATATTCGTATTCATGCCAATAAATCTCAATACATATATCAGTTATTGGGAATAAAACTGTCCTCGGAAAATCAAATCAAATCACAGATTACTAGAAACAATTTCATCGTGAGACCGGAAATCGGGTTCATGTTTGTTTGTCCACTCATCCGATCATCGAGGTTACTCGCGATGCAGTATGAGGATGGGCCAGGGAAGCTTTAGCGCTTGCACAAATTGTTTTTGGGCACACAGGGGTGTGTGTGTGTGCAGATGAATGCCCACCGCTTCCGATGTTGCCAGCATCCGACAGCATACCTGCCTCGATAATCGCCCACGAATTTTGTACAGGGGTCGGAAAGCCTCGGACATGTCCACAGTGTGATTTGTTTCAGCTAGGGTGAAACCACTGTAATGCTGAGTGACTTAATCGTTCCGGTGTTCAGCTACTCAGGGCAGTTTTCACGAATCCGTTCGGCCATTCGCCTGACCGTGCGACCTATGTAGTTTGTTCCACAGGAACAGATAAACGAGTATACACAGAATGAGACCGCAGAGTCTGGAACTTTGTCCTTCGGTCGCAAATACACAATTGGCTTGGACGTGAACAACACACGAAGCTTGGATGAATGGGAAGTTTTATCGATTTCTCCTCCTCCTTTTCCGTAGATTTTGTTAGAACACTTGGAGGGTCTGGTCGCCAGACACGAACGTTCACTGCGAATGACTGTGGTCAAACGTCATACTCTGACGTCAAACGCTTCGGCTCCCGGTGGTGCACAGTACACGCCTTCAGCCACTGACATGATACCCGTAGAGGTAGATGGATCATCATTGAACTATGTGAGCGCTTCGGTCCCCGGCAATGTCAGTCCTTCCGGCACAGGACTCAGTTCCGAAGCCGAGGTGCTCAAAGCCCTGAAATCTTTATTCGAACATCACAAAGCACTGGATGAAAAGGTCCACGACCGACTACGGGCAGCACAGAATAAAGTATCCGATCTGGAGGCTGAACTTGAGGCCACAAAGTCTCTTGTCTACGCTCGATCCAACGAGAATGTGGACAAACGTTTCGAAAACCGGGAGGCTCAAACAGATGTGAGTGGTGATAGCATACAGTTAATGGAATCCGAGGCCGGATTTGGGGCGGAAATTTCGAAACTGCGTGAGTTTAAAAAGTTGACATTGATGAAGCGATTTTCTCTTCCTAATGATTACTATGCCTACCCATTCTCGTTGTTGTTTTCTACCATTTTGTAATAAATGTTGATGAAATGTAGAGGGGGTGCTGTGCAAAAAAGGTGAATGTGGAAAACAGTATATATATTCATTTTTATTCTTTGAATAAATTTATGCATAGATAGGTTTTATGAAAATCCGCTGGGTGATTTAGAGAACAGGTAACCAGAACCAGTTAGTTCATTTATGAACTAGAATAGTCCCCAGATCTAGTCACTTCCTCTAGCAGAGTAGGTCACGTTTGACTCGGTTCTAAAATCAGATCAAAGATCGCTTTATCCTATTATGTTATTTTTGCCCAACCCAACAGATGTGGGGAGCTGTGACAAGCTTAAAGCAGAAGATAGAACCTCTTGGCTCTGTGATAGCAGGAAGCCCTTCCTATGCATCGTCTTAGAATGAACTTTGCTCCACGCATCTCTCAAGTTCCAAGATTGAAAACCGTTACTCTTGTACCCATCAACTAATTCCTACTGATGCAATATATTCAAAAGGTAGTGCCGGAACAAGGAGCGCTACCAAATCGGAGAACATCGGATAAGTTTGAATAAGGTTACATCGAACGAAATACATAATTTGCAGCAATCGGTTGGTATTTTCGTGATTGTCTCATCATGGGTTACCGCCAGCCTGAACTTCTGTTGGCCTCTTTTGTAGTTACCAACGTAGATCTTTCAGTCCACTTGCGGATTCCGTGGAATCCGATAATCACTTCTAGGCGCATATAAACTACTCAAAAGTGTGAGTAGCACCTCACAATACTACTGCAAATTTCGGATATACCTTAACATTGCTACAGTTTGCTCTTTATGCTTGGTCGAGCTTTTCACAAAGCCTTGTTTGCATAACCAGTTCAAACAAATGTTGAGCATAGAAACCCATGCATCATTTCAGGTTATTTCTTTTGATGTAACAAAGCGCAAGTTACTCTACGAATCTTGATGTTATTTCAGGTCACCGCGTGGTTTGCTTGCGTTCTTTTTCATTTCCAAGCCGAGCATTGGTACTCGGTTGCTTTGACTAAAGACGTCTCAAAATGCATTTCCTCTCGGACAAGGTAACTAGGTCATGTCCGCAGTTATTTAGCAGAGTACGAGGAGCGTTTCGAGTGATCTGTAGCCTGAGAATCAATTTGATACAGTCAGATAAATCGTTGACTTATTTACCTGAATATCAGCTTTGGCCATATTATAAATATAGAAGCTACCTATCTAATGTTGAAGTTTGATTTGTTCGTTGGCAAGAGCGTGTAGAACACTGTTCGCTTTGAGATATCGTTCAAACGTTTGCGAAGACTTTGCTCACAAACTTTGTTACTGACGTCACTTTTTCTAACTATATTCTAGATTTTTAAAGGAGTAGCATGTTTGCATTGTGCTTGTGAGGCTCTATCCTCAGTTGGGTCGATGGACTCGCACTGTTGATGAAGCCCACCCAGGTCGAAACAGCTGCCTAGTGCTTCATTTGCTCTATACACGACGATTTCACCTTTGAAATTGAATCAAATCCCCCATTGTTCACACATATACTGGATACGTATGAAAATCCCAGAAAAAAATGACAGGCGTTTAAATGAATTCGTTGGAGTAAAGGGAACACATTCATCATTAAAATCACTTGGATTTTGTCTTGGTGTGATATCAATCTATCGTCTTCTTATATCAGCTCACGCAACTTACGTTTAAAATTATTCTACTCTAGGAATCACATTTTAGACTTACTAGTTCTTTTCACCCATCGAATCATATTAATGTTTGGTTTATTTACATTCCTCGGACACTTTACACACAGCCATGTCCCAGTCATATCCTTTTGTGTCTACCTCGCCGGCTCGGACCTTGACCACACCGACTACGACTCCTGCGGTGACGTCAACCTCATTCCCTCCTTGCGGTATGTCTGCATCGTCTTCCGCCTCCAGTGCTCTTTCAGCGGCTGCAGCGGCTGCGGAGGCTGTGAATCGCGTGAAAGAACTACAGCAGAGTCTTGAACAAAAAGTTAGTTTCTTTTGAATAGTAATAACTTTTTCCTGCCGCAGCCCCATATCAACCTCTGTTTCATAGCAGTGATATATAAAATAATATTGTCATAGTTACCGTTGATGTGATGAAGAATAAATCTTATCTGAACGCTAGAGGAAAACCTGAATAAATTTCCGGTTAGTCATGTTGCAGAATACGAAATGAAAACTGGCCCAACCTGAAACAGTGGTGGAGGTACATTCAAACAGTGCCAGCAAGCATTAAACATGGAGCAATAGGCAAAAGTAGATCCATGGAGTGGATGGACTGAAACAGGTCATTAACGTTTAGAGGTAAAATAACTACTTTGGGTTATGCGTCATCAAAAAAAAATTGCACAGGCCGATCCAATCGTCATTGGTTTTGAGTGTGATGATGACCAAGCTGTGTTGGTCACTATCATGTTGCCTCAGACGTAGCCTTGTTCGTACTCCACAACCACTGTGACTTCCCCACCCGATAGCCCTGTGATTGATCGATTCTGTCTCCCCTAAAACGTTTTGTACGTTCAACAAAAGCCAGTAAGCGACTATAAAGGATATGGCTTGCAACGCCATCGGATATTAACCATGAAGGCAATTCCCCATAACCATAAGGACTGTTAACTGCATGGTCGAACTTTGAATCGAGTAGAGTGCTATTGGCCTTTTTATACATAACCAGTCACAAGTTGGTTTATTTAGAGGAATCATTTGACAATTCCAGATTTTACACTAAAAATAGCTGTTGTTGGAAGGTGTTTGATTGTACAACGTGATTGATTTGGTTCATGATTTTAATGTTCAATCTAATGAACAAATTAAAAAGAAAAATCCAATTCGCCTTGTCCCCCGAACGATGTATTATCTTGTCCCCCAGGCTGAAATTAAAGCTTGTCCTTTTATTAATTATCACCAGCATCACTTTGACTGAAAGCATGTGTCCTGGAATTTTCGTCACCTCTGCCTAAGTTCGGCTGTTGTTAACATCTTTTAACAGTGCCTCAAATGAGTGCCTGTTGGTTGCTAAGGTGTAAAACTCAACCCAAGGGAAAGAAAGGGGTGTTCATTGACACACACACACACCAGTCTTTGTTTGTTTCCACATTCCCACTCATCTCAACGGGTGTTGATGTTGTTGCTGTTGAAACTTCAACGGATAAGACATCCAGTTTGTTCAAACAGGCTGGATGGAAGATAAATGCTTGTGTTTCAAAAGAACAATTTTATCTGAAGAACTTTGGAATCCACTGGAATGGTCAGTGACCAATGCATTTCATCAACACGGTTTAATAGCCAAAACCACACTGTTATTCTCTCGAACTGTGCTCCACAGATTTTCGCATGACATGAATGAGACTTACCGGGAAGTTAAAAAGGAATGTTCAAACTGGAGCAAGTTGTTCATTTTCATTGATGCTATCCGACATATGCTATTGGGTGTTGGGATATATCATTTAATTTTCATATTAGCATTTACCTTGCAGTTACTTGTGAGTGATGGTGTAGGATAATTGATTTGAATTAGGCCTGACTATACTTCAAATTTCATTTTCACACACACAAACACACACTCCTCATATACGGCTGGGTCAAATGTGGGACTACAAATGCTTTATGAAATGCAATTATCAATGCACATACGTGACTAACGTTCCACGCCCTGTCCCGTCCAATTTGTGTCCTAATTGGTTGAAGTTCCTTCTTTCTCTTCCTCCCACAACTCAGACTAACATTTAGTTTGAAGAGTTACACACATGGTTTTCCATGAACTTATGAGTGTTAGCAATAGGATCAACGATGTTTCGTCTCGATGTTATGGACCTTGAATAGTGTTCACAATAAGTATCGTAAATTTGATCCATTCACCGTTTGAATTTTGAAGAGGGACATGAATTGGTTCTGTCTCTGGGTGATTTTGCTCGCAAAGGAAATGACTGTCAGCCTTGATCGATTTCACGTGCACAAAAGTGTATCCTCATATTTCGCACAGTCATATCACTCAGTTTTCTTTATACTTTTGTCTAAACCACCCGACCATGATGATCTGGAACAACTTCGATGGTTCAACGGGACACAGTCCACGGAACTGCTGATGGCAAGGCGGCAAATCATTGAGTTGACCAGTCAGTCCCGGGAAGCCACTGATTCGTTAAGTTTTGCGCGCAGCGAATTGAAAAGGACCACCGAACAGGTAAGATAAATTATGTATTTTTGCAAGGTGGACAGTTGCACACTTACGTTTAAAGTGCTGCGCTGTGATATACATGGATAAGTAAAGTAATTTAATTAGGGAATAAATGGGTAGCACGCGCCCGTTTAGTTTGCAAAGTTCCAGATCAGATCCACGGTGCGATTGACGGCTCGGCATGGTTGGATGTTTTCCGAGGGAGTAAAATCAAATTGTTGTTTTGCAGATTGAAGTCCTTTGTTTAAATTGTGAAAAGTTCACCAGTAGGACCCTGTAGGATTCAAACCCTCGCAATAGCGCCGCTTATGCCTATGTTAAGTCACTCGTGAATTCTTTACTAGCTTTTCAGTTTTATTTTATCATTGCGAATTCACCAAAATCAGGATAAATGTAATGCTGTTTCAGTGTACCTCAACATTACTGTCCGAAAGATTAAATTTCTTTATAAAAATATTGAACTTTTCACAATGTCAACATCAAACTTCAATCTGCCAAACGTCAATTTGAACAATGAACCTAGCCTTAGACGTTTATTCGGTGTACTCCGGTGATTTCTAAGGAAAACCTGCTATAGCAGTCAGCCTACATGCTACCTGATGAATGCCAGAATGAGAAATTCAAATGTGAAAAATCAGTGATATTGGTGTCATCTCGTAGCTCAGCTGGTAGAGCGTGCTGTCTTTAAAAGCATAGGCGGCGTGGTTTACAATCCCACCGAGGCTAGTGAACGTTTCACATAAAAATTCAATCTGCAAAAGATGAATTTGAAAAATAAAGTGTCTGTTGGTGTACTCGTGCGCTCCGAAGGTTCCCCCGTCGACCGTGCAACATAAGAGTCGTGGTTCAATTCCCAACCCGAAAGTTCATTGTACGGGTACCGGTAAGGACATAAAAGGAGTACACACTGTTAGAAAATCGTAACATCTAGCTGTATGAAACGTCAAATAATACTTGATGCTTTGTTCTGAGGAAGTTTTGCGATTTGAAAATTTTTTCCAATCCTCTGCTCCCCGACTATATTTTAAGAAGTTAGCGAATAACATCATCATCAGAGAAAATGTCGTGTGTTCCCTTTTCCGAAGATCAATTCTCGTGTATGCATTTGAACCCAGTTTATTGAGTGTGGTTTATTTTTGCATTTTGTATTTCTTCTTATTACGTCAATGCGTTCGAAAATCATGCGGTTTACCCTGTGCTTATCGTGAAAAACAGCCATCAGGTTTTTAGGTCAGATGGATATTGAATGCAACATACAGAGCGGCATATATACATATAGTGTTCCTCGATAACTTGTGACGGAGAATTATGCTAATTTGAGGACTGTTGAATACAATTAGTTGATTCTTGTCCCCAAAATAAATCCAGTAACTTCTTGTTTGACCTCAAACATCGTCGAACTGCAGTTTATGAGTACTGAAAGACGTGTGAACAGGATTCCACCAGGCAGACGTGTTTGATTTCCCGAAATTATCGCAAATATACGATATTTCCCCCAAAGTGACTCAATTAATCTGCACCGTGTTGCGGCTGTCCAGCCTGGATTTGCTGACACAAATCAAGTAATGACTAGGAGTAGAGATTATGGACGACGGAATTTATGAAGGCCTGTCTGTGCTCAAATTTGCAATGTGTTTGATTTCTTTCGGTTAAAAATTTGTTGATAGAAAATAGCAGAAACGGGACTTCCGAATGATTAGAACTAATGTGAAATTAAACTCAGCATAATCTTGATTGGTACGCAATTTAATAGCCAAATCAGTTCACTAGTCTCAAATTAGGAAAAATATCTCACACATTTGACGTCTATCTAAAACGTTAAAATTTTTCTCTTTCCTTATCTTCAAACATATTCAAACCACTGAGAGTTAACAAGTCCATAGCAGCTCGAACTCGTGAATTTATGGCCCTAATTGAGATACCACTGGAACTTCCGAACCAGTTCGATGAAACAGGCTTACGCTGTTGGGCGTCATTCTGAAACGACTATCTTGTAGATATACGTTTCCACTGTCTGTTCCACTTAGGATGGTTAATTATTTGGTTGCTGGAGGGCTAAAGCGTAGCAAGATTGGGTTTTAATTCAATGAAAACATGTTTTGCTCTTATTTTGGTTACAAAACAGGCGTTCCTTCTTTTTCCACATATGCTTTGTTCTTTAAGTGATAAAACTCGTGTGATTTACATAATCTTTCTCGAATTTTGAATGCACGGCGGGAAAACTTTTTATGTTAGGCATGATGTTCATCAGTCCTTCACAGTTTGCATTCATCCTAATAGGTGGCATTATTTTCCAACCGTCAGTAAAGCCCATTTTCCTCACTGCAACACTTGGATGTATTTACCAAAGAAGAGGAGACAGGTTTTCCTTCCCGTCCAGAGCGTGGTTTGATATACATGTATTTTCCAACCCGCTCATTGCGGGCACTTCGCCCATAAGTGCCTCAATATGACTTTTGACTTGACTCGCATCTGTTTTGTAACGATTGTTTACTGTTATGCCTTGCATGAGAGATATGGGAAGATTAGGGAAGGCTTCGTATTTCTCATCCAGTTAAGTCATGAGGGTATTGTGTTTTAGGCCAGAAGGCACGTTTTTGGACACTGTCAAATGGTAGTGTGATTTTGACCGGAGCACTCTGCTTGTAGTAAAACGACACACGCGAACAGTCCGGCGGACCGCAGGCTCTTGTGTAACCACGCCTCGGCCAAAAAGCCCCTTCACAGTGTGCATGCATCCGAATAGGTGGCATTATTTTCCAACCGTCAGTAAAGCCCATTTTCCTCACTGCAACACTTGGATGTATTTACCAAAGAAGAGGAGACAGGTTTTCCTTCCCGTCCAGAGCGTGGTTTGATATACATGTATTTTCCAACCCGCTCATTGCGGGCACTTCGCCCATAAGTGCCTCAATATGACTTTTGACTTGACTCGCATCTGTTTTGTAACGATTGTTTACTGTTATGCCTTGCATGAGAGATATGGGAAGATTAGGGAAGGCTTCGTATTTCTCATCCAGTTAAGTCATGAGGGTATTGTGTTTTAGGCCAGAAGGCACGTTTTTGGACACTGTCAAATGGTAGTGTGATTTTGAACGGAGCACTCTGCTTGTAGTAAAACGACACACGCGAACAGTCCGGCGGACCGCAGGCTCTTGTGTAACCACGCCTCGGCCAAAAAGCCGAGAGGAGGGTGTTGGCGGGATGGCGCGGGGCGGGGG